GGGAGAGAGAGGGAGAGAGGGAGAGAGGGAGAGAGGGAGAGAGAAAAGAAAGAGAGAAGAAAGAGAGAAGGAAAGGAAAGAGAAAAAGTCCACAGTAAATACTGGAAACGAGTTCCTACTGGGGCTTGGACCATTTCCAATTTACAGAGCTCTGTGAGTAGTGTCATTGATATGCAAATCATTCTACTGTAAGTTTAAAAAAACAACTCCCCAAACTTTCCTATTAGTAAAAACCAAAACTATTAATAATTTGCCAATTACAACGAAGGCTGCATTATTTAGTCTGAAGAGAAAAAATGATTTTCAGAGTTGCTAAAGCTAGAAAAACTGATGTACTCTTTTGGGAGAATGTGATATTAAACACAAAAATAGGTAACATGTAATTATTTGTAATTACATATAATTATATGTAGTTAAAAATAAGCAAGTCAGGTGCTGTGGTGCATTCCTATAATCCCAACTACTCAGCAGGCAGGCTGGGGTGGGAAGATCTTGGGTTTGAGACCGGCCTGGGCAATTCAGCAACACAAATCTCAAAGAAAAAAAGTAATATGGTATCACAGATCAAAAAGCTTAAAAAAAAAAAATCACGCAATAATTCTACATCTAGGACACATCCTAAGGATGAGAGATTCCCAAGTGCAGAGTCCCATCACAAAGAGATGTTGTGTGAGATTAAATATGTGTAGCTATGTGCAGAGATGTAAATAATCAACTGAATTTTATGTAAGTTCTTGGTGACAAAGTGTTTAGAACGCACTAAGTGAATTAAAAGGTGGTTACCATTTTTAGGTTTGACGCCAATTTTGGAAATGGGAATGGGGTGAGAGAGGACATGAACACAGGCTGGAAGCACGAAAATGAACGGATGAGGAGAGGGAAAAAATAAGATCGGCCAAAAAATGACACACTGAATCAAGGTGATGGCTAACTGGGAATTTGGGGTACACTAATTGTTCCTATTTTCACAAATGTATTTCAACTTTTTCATAATAAAAGGTTAAAAGAGAAAAAACATTCACTAGAATGTTAAACGATCTGCAGATGTTTTCTCTGGGCATAACCACGTCCAAAGCCTCACTCACGCACAGTCACTTCACGACAGGCCGAGACAGGTTCAACTTACCACCCAACAGGCATTTCCAAGGTCAGCAATCTTCACTTTGAGTTTTTCTGCATTTTTTGGCTCAAGGGGATTAACAAGAAAATTTCCAGCAGTGGATTTTCCTACAGACAACAGGTACCATCAATAAAACTGTTCAATAAATACAGAAATACCCAAAGGGTAATGAAGTCCTCCAAGATAGAGTTCTAGGTAGGGCCCCAGTCGTAAAATAAAACTTCCAAGAACACCGCAGCACCCTCGGTCTCTAGAATTTACAGCGCCTGTGCTCACCGGACCCCGTGAGGTGCTGTGCACCCATCCCTAATACATACACCTGCAAGCCATCTACAGGTCTGACACCTGCTGTCAAGTGGTATCTTGGTGCAGAGACGCATGAATGTGAGGGCTGGGGACGTCGTCTCACGGGTACCTTTGCTGTCCAGTGGTCCATTCTGTTGCTCCTCTCCACAAGGGATCTCTGCCCGAATGCTTTCCTGAAGTTGGCTGATGTCCTGTTCACTGAATGACCGGTCTCCAGCTGCAGAAGACTGGCACACCACGGAGTCGGACACTTCGGGGGCCACAGGCGTACAAGAGTCTATTTCTTGAGATGTGCTGCTGTCTCCATTTTGGGAGCTTAGGAAACTAGGTTCCTGCTTCAAATTTTGGACATCACAGTCATTAGCATTATGGAGATCCTCTTTAAGCCTCAATGTTTCTTTATTACTGTTCTCAGTAAAATTACTGACTTCAATTACTCCATTGCAATTAATTTCTGTTGCACCACCCTCTACACCACGCTCCATAAGTGTCTGATCCTGGTCAATGGAACTTGACTCTTCTAAGAAACAAACAAACAAAAAAAGATATGTGTGTGTATGTGTGAGCGAAGAGCAGGAAAATTCTCACTAGATTAAAACATTTTCTAGAGCTGACACTGAACGACATAAAACACGACTGAACATCTAAAACCTATTTATGCAAGGACAAAGATCTTCTCATCCTCACCCAATCGCTAAATTAAGTCTATGCTCCATTTTCTGAGAAAAGTGAGAAATAACATTTGAATATTTCCTGCCTACATCATGACAAGATCTGACTTCTCACAAGGACAGCCCCAGAGACGTGTTGTGTGTACAAAACCACTGTGCGATAGAACAACGATAAGCTAGTGTTAAAGTGTGCCGTCAAGCGATTTTTGTGATGTTCTATTATACCAAGTTTTTCTTGGGTCATTTTATTAGGTGGGTTCTCTCTCAAGGGTCTTTCAACAGGACTCTCTGAAGCTTCTTGCTTGTTAGGTCTCTTTTGCCCGGGGCCCGACTCTTTCTCCATTTCCTCAATTTCCTGCATTCGCTTCTCTAGTAATTCTGCCTGGCGCTTCTGCTTCTTCTTCAATTTCTTCTTCTTATTCTTTGACATTTTGTCAGCCTGGGCGGAGATTACAAACAAATAAAGCCTTCAGGTGGCTACTCCATTACTCACACTTGGAGATAACTGTTAACTTTAATTATTTCCTAATTAAATTTCACTCTTTCCCTGAATTTTTTTCATTAACTTAAAAGCTGCAGGTATTCTTATGAAACCAAGTAAGAACAAAATTCACAATAAATGTTGATTTTTCTGAGCAGTCTGTGTTTGGAGGAGGGTTTACTCTCAGACACTCAAATTTACTGGAGAAAATCACAGAAGTGCAGGAATATTCTTTCCCTTTGGTTTTCAAACACTAAACAAATTGTGACCATAACAGAAGAACCCATGCTCATAGCTCATTGACCAAAATTAAATATAGAAACACCTTATACTTACTGGTTTAGGCTGGGGAGCAGTACTGACTGAAAAGAAAAGAAGACCAAGTGAGAATCTAGCATTCAGCAGGCAGGATAACCCAAAACCTCTATCAGAATGAAAACTTTCCTGCATAGTCTACCCTGCTTTTAACCAACCTTGGTAGAAGTCACATTCTTTTTATTAAAACAAACAAACAAACTGCAAAATTTGCCAAACTTTAAATAAAAAGTTTAAGTTAAATTCTTTTCTGGGTAGCAATCGACATCCACAAAGAACGAAGTTCTCATTTTTGGTTTCTACTACTAATGTTGCTAACATCACCTATGTCCCATCCCCATGTAGTCCTTAACAGAGCCTGTGACAAGACAGCCTCCTTGTCCACACCCAGGACTCCCACAACTCTCTTACTTCCTCCCCCTCAGCATGGCTCAGCTTTTAAAAGGGAGTCTAGGCAGCACCAAGAGCCACAGCAATTTGCTACATATGTGTACAGTGCATTACAGGTAACAGTGTTGTTTAGGTCAGTGTACTGCTAACTATATCCACACTATTGCACAACAGATGTCATGAACTTTTTTATCTTGTAAAACTGAAACTATACCTATCAAAACCACCACCGTGCTTCCTCTTTCTCCAGCCTTTCTGTAATAGGAAGTCAGTTTCAAGAGGAGTACCAAGGAAGTTACTCAAATGTGATTAAACTATTAAAATTAAAACTTGTACCTCAAACAGAAGAATCATAATCATAGCAAGCATAATTTACCTCCCATTCAAAACTATATGGGGCCGGGGATTTAGCTCAGTGGTGCCACCACCTGCCTTGCAAGCACAAGGTCCTGAGTTCAATCCCCAATACAAAAAAACAAACAACAACAACAAAAAACTATATGGCACACCAGAAATTGCTTCAACATAAAAGTTAATCTCATTAACTCCTGAAAGAGGCAAAATGTTGCCTACCTAATAATATCACTCGGCCAAAGACTGCCAGAGTGAAGTGAGGATTCCTATCAGCTCTGACTATTCCAGTGCTAAACCCAAGTTCCTAACACTGATGTTATCTCGTCCCTATGCGGATGAATAATCTGTAAGCCAGCAGATGTGATCACGGTAAGAGATAAACACATCAAAAATGGTCATCAAATTAAAGGAAAAAATCTGTAAACAAATCACTCATTTTTATTTATTTTTGACACAGGGTCCTGCTATGTAGTTCAGGGTGTCCTTGAACTATGTAGCCTAGGCTGGCCTCAAACTCAATAGCAATCCTCCTGCCTCAGCCTCTGAAGGGCTGAGAGTACAAGTGCACGCCATCACGCCTGGCACAAATCACTATTCTAGTATACAGTACAAGATATCTATACCTAAAGGACACTGCAGTCTCTAGTCTTCTTCCCAAAGGTAACAATAATGAGGGTAAAGTCTCTTGAAGGCTGACACTATTTTTAAATATTTTATAGCTAAATGACTGGGTAGTGTTTAATTCCCTAGTGATAGAATGAAAGAAACTTCTCTTAACTTCTAACGAGACCAAAGCACTCCGCTCCACGCCCCGACATACCTGCAGACCCGGAAGGCGGAGGAGCTCCAGATCGCTGCCACTCTGTTGCTTCTGCTGCCAGTCTCCGGATGTATTGCTCATTCACTGACAACAAGATGTTTTCTGGCTTAATGTCAGTGTGGATGATACGGCACTTGGTGTGTAAATAATCCAGACCCTGTAACACCTGAATGGGTGGATTAGTCGACTTACAAACACAAAATACAAGTATTTCTGGGGAAGAAATCACAATGTGACATATTTCAGAAGTAAAAAAATGAAAAGCACAAAGAAACTTTCTTGGCAAGATTAATGATAAGCTTCCAAGGGTCCCAAAACTAATGCTATTTGGAGATGCGCCTCAGACAGCCCCCCCAATAATTATTACAGGATATATAATCTAGGGAGGTTATTACACTGAAACATTTTAAAACAGAATACATAAAATAAACCGTATGGGTTGAATAAAATTCTACTGGAAACAGGAAATGCCTGAGCCTTTAATATTAAAATATCACTCCACAGCAAAGATAGATACATACTTGTTGAATAATTTTTTTGACACAAGGCAGTGGAAGCCCCTGATAGTTGGACTTGATGATCCACTTGAGCAGATGATGCCCCAGAACTTCAAACACCATGCAGATATCTGGAGTTCATTAAGGAAGAAGAAAAGGAACTCAAGAGAAAAGAGAGGCAGAATGAGATGTGGATTCCAAATCAATGGAAAATATGTAGCTGTTAATATTCAGAAATTTTCAGATCTAAAGCTGTACATAATGAAAGCATCCATGAAACAGAAAATTATGTGTGGGAGCTGGTTTACTAAAAAAAATTGTACACACTAAACAGTGGTAAAAAGAAATAAATCTACACATGCAAACAGTGAAAGCACTAGGCTTGAGCTGGTGACTGATCCAGGCTAAGAAACTGCTTTCCTCACGCCCATGGAAGCAACTTCCACACTCAGTCTCCAAGTAGGAAAAAACACATTCTTCCTTGGCAGGAGAAGACAAGGCACAAAATTTAACATCTCCCCCTTTTCTACGGTACAGGGATAGAATCTGGCCTTCTGCATGCCACTGAGCTGCACTCCTAGTACCCCCCCCTTTCTATGGTACAGGGATAGAATCTGGCCTTCTGCATGCCACTGAGCTGCACTCCTAGTCCCCAACATTTTTTAAAAATAGGAAACTGATTTGCTTTATGCTCTGTAGTTTACAAAAGCAATCTTATCCCCCTTTTCTACGGTACAGGGATAGAATCTGGCCTTCTGCATGCCACTGAGCTGCACTCCTAGTCACCAACATTTTTTAAAAATAGGAAACTGATTTGCTTTATGCTCTGTAGTTTACAAAAGCAATCTTCATCCTTGTGCTGCCACGTGTTCTCTTTATGCCTAAACATCTGATCACAGACCGCACCGCACTGCAGCTGGAAGACTTCGAGCGTGCAGCAATGTTAGTAGTTCTGCTGATAACTTCCACGCCAGAAGCTTCTTCATGTACGGGAACACATGTACTTGGCACATGTATGTGCCAAGACATACATGATGACCTACTGCCCAGATTTTTGTTTTAAATATTACATCCATCACCAAACAAAAGCCTGAGCTCCTCAGGAAAATGGCCATACCCAAGGCTACTAGACAGGGTTATGCTTGGAAGACCTTGCTACGCCAGCAAATAAGGACACAAGTCAGGAAGAACAGGACCCATCTTGAAGAGGAGGCCACTGGCCAAATGGAGAGCATTTTAAAGAGTAAAGTTATGAGTTTATATACTCATTAAAACTAGAATGATTCCATACTGATGCTCATGGTAAGTGTGAGGGAGGCAGAAGAGAAACGCCTTCTTTAGAGAAGAAAGCTCAGTATGATGGCAAAAATCACTGTGGCAATAATAACTGAATCAATAAATTCTAAAACTACTGTGTGAAAAACTGTTGGGGAAAAGGATTGTTACAGTGTCAAAATATCACTTCAGGGCCAGGGATGCAGCTCAACGCAGCACCGCCTGCCTCTCAAGCGCAAGGACCGGAGTTCAACTCCCAGTACCAAAAAAGGAAAGAAAAGAAAACATCACTTCACAGATTGCAAAAGAAATAAAACAAAGAAAAAAGAAAAAAAAATGTGGGTGTCATAAAAGGAATTTTTCCAAATTATATTAATACGTCATGAAGAATCAAAATTATCAGGTACCATTTCAAACTCACTGGAAGACTAAAATAAAGAAGATTAACATTATGACTGTGGATGAGAATATGGAGTAATTAAACCCTCATACTATGCAAATGGGAATGTAAGATGGTACAATCACTTTGGAGAACTGACAATTTCTTAAATATAAATCTAGAAACTTCTGCATTAGCCAAGAAAATGGGGACTACATTCATTCTCTCTGTTGAAAAAAGAGCACAAAACAAACACAACAGGGCTGGGGATTTAGCTCAGTGGCACCACGTCTGCCTCGCAAGCGTTAAGGTCCTGAATTTAATCCCCAGTACCAAACAATGGCAACAACATACAACACACACAGGGGGCCAGGGATTTAGCTCAGTGGTTCCACCGCCTGCCTCATAACACACACACAATACATAAAAGACCCTGGGGATCAGGCCACAAGGGCTGTGGTCCCTGAAAACATAAAACAAATCAATGAGCTGAACCGTAAGACTACCCCATCTTACTGCCTTGAGACTTTCCAGGCAGGCTCTATGAGTTGGACAGGAAGGAGCAGAGTTGGGGTAGAACCAAGGCAGCCATAGCTCATAAAGCAAGGTACTGATGAGGGGAAAGCTATAGAAAGAAATAAGGAGTGCTGTTCCAGGCCTGTAATACTAGCACTCTGGGAGGCTGAGGCAAGAGGATCATAAATCCAAGCCCCACCTGAGCAACTTAGTGACTCAGTAAGACTCTATCTGAAAAAAAAAAAAAAAAAAAAAAAAAAAAAAAAAAAAAAAAAGTCTAAGGTTATAGCTCTGTGCAAAGGCTGGATTCAATAACATATCTAAGACTGGCTACAGAATATCAGGAAGTTTAGACAAAAATAAGACTAGTTGTAAGTTGATGACTTGTGAAATGGATTTGTGGTGATTCAATACATTTTCAATGGTTTTGTTTATACTGATGTATTGAACCCAAGGGCCTTTGCACTAAGCTAGAGCTCCAGGACTTTGTATGTTTTGAAAGTTTTGACACAGGGTCTTGCCGAATGGTTGCCCAGAATGGGCATGAACTTGTGACCCTTCTGCCTCAGCTTCTTATAGTGCTTGGATAATTGGCATGTGACATCACATCTGGCTCTATTCTACTTTTTTATGTTTGAAGTTTACCAGAATAAGTTTTTATGTGTGCGTGTGTGTGCGTGTGTGTGGTTTTTTGAGGCAGGGTCTCACTGTATAGTCGAGACTAACCTGGAAGTCACTATGTAGCCCAGGCTGGTCCTGAACTCAGCAGTCCTCCTGCCTCAGCTTCCTGAGTGCTGGGATTATAGGCGTGCACCACCATGCCTGGCCTCACAAAAAGTTTTTTGTTTTTTTTTGGTACTGGGGATTGAACTTGGGTCCTTGTGCTTGTGAGGCAAGGAGCAGAACCACTGGGCTAAATCCCCAGCCCAGAAAAAGTTTTTTAAAAAAGCAGACTGCTTTAAAAAAGTAAATATAAAATAGAATTTCAAGCTATTCTCTTTTGTAGTTTCTACCTTAACTTTCATTTGTTGAGAAGCACTACAATTTGACAAACATCTAGTTTGGAAGCAGTGATATAAAATGACATTTAATAGCTTAAAAATAAAAAAGATCTCAATAGACTATCAATCAATTAGTTATAGAATGAAATAGTGTGGGGTCAAAGAACACTGGCAAGAGTCAGGAGAAAGAGTAATACTTAAAATTAACACATCAAAAAAATCTAAAGGAAATGGTATAAAGAAAAAAAGGGCTAAAAATATTAGTAAGTAAAGGCCATATTTAGGATACATTTCACACAAGAGGAGCTCACAAAAGAGGAAAGGGCAATAGTAAAGAATGTGTCGGGACACCCGAGCCGTGAAGACAGCGATGAGGACTCCCTGGCAAACGTGATGCAGAGACCAGGCGTCCCGTCCTCTCTTCCCTCAGCCCCCACGGAAGTGGAGTGAACCAGGTTAATACCGAAGTCTGCTTTAGATTTTAATCAGAAAGAACAGTGATCTGGAGCAAAAGCAATTATGCCCAGAAACAGCAAGAGCAGATGCGCAGTCCCAGTGTGGGTGTGTTGTGCCCTGAGGTAAGCAGCACAACCTGCTGAACCTTAACCCAGCACTGAGGAACGCATGGCCCTTTCAATCTCAACGCAGCAGACAAAGCAGGAGCCCTGACAGTTGGGAGACGCATAGCAGGAACAGCAGAGTAAAGGGCTAAGGACAAGGCAAGAAAATAATTCAAAGGGGACTCAATGGACATAAACCACCTAGCAGTGTTTCAGGCACTTGAAATTCAAACCTTCTCAGTCAATGGTTAAAATAAAGTGTTCTTGCTTAGGGCCAAAAGTGCTCATTTGGCACAATGACAAACATTACAAATAGAATTAAACAGACAGGATCTAACAGCTACCACGACATTCTGTGTACGCTTTTCTTGTTTAGCTGCACATGCGCACACACACACAGAGTAAATAATCTAAGAAGTGCCCAAAACTGGTAAAAGACACACTGTTTTAAGATGGATGCCATAATTTTCCTTAGCAATCTGGAGATTATGATTTTTATTTCCATAAGGAAATGACTTAGAATTTCAGAATAAGTCTTTTCACATTTACAACCTATTTCCTTTCCTTTTTTTTTTTCTTCCAGCTTTGAGTTTATTGGTACATTTTAGGGATACAGTACAGTTACATTCATTGTTGGGATGTTGTACCTCTACACGATCCTTTCCTTTCTTATACTTTCTTTCTGTTTCTGTCAGATTTCTTCCATGGTCTGTTCTTCCTGGAATGACAGTCACTTGTGCCCTATTCTCTGGGGCACGGCCGGGGGCAGGGGCTCAATGGTAATTGAGAATGTGTGCCCAGAGAAGCCAAGCAGGAATGCACAGTAGGATGATCTATGAAACGTCTTTCTTAGATTGTCCCATCTAAGTCAGATACTTCATTTCAGCTTTTACTATGAAAGGCTCACAGGCCTTTACGAACATGCCTGTTGTGGTAACCTTTCAAGTATCCGCGCAGAACACCAAGAGTCAACTTGTGGGCTGGGGATTTAGCTCAGTGGTTCCACTGCCTGTCTCATAAGCATGAGGACCTGAGTTAGATCCCTGGTACCAAAAAAAAAATTAAAAATTAAAATAATAAATAAAAATTCAGGTTAAAAATATAAAATAAATCAGTTTTTTCATTATGATAGAATGTGAACAATAATATTTGAATTCTAAACATAACCTGCACTGACAAGCTTCTTCAATACAAAGGCCTGGTGAATACACAATAATAACAAAAAAAGTACTAATTGGTAAAGCTCATAGAATCTTTTTTATTTAGTAGTAGCTATTTTCTGAAAGAGTTTCTTTTGATTTTGCTTTAATTCACCTGAAAAGGGAAGGATGGGAAACAAAAAGCAGTATCTTGAAAAAGCACACCGCACAAAATTCAGATCTGGATTCAAAAGTGCACAACAAAAGGTACAACTGTGATGTCCGGCCAGGAATGTAGCTCAGCGGTGCTGCATCTGCCTGGCAAGCACAAGGTCCCGAGTCTGCTCCCCGGTACCAAGGGGGAAAAAGGGCAATCGTGACGCCCACCTGAACAGAGGAGGAACACCCCGGATTCCTGGAGCAGGCTCTGGGCGTGTCTGTGGACGACCCACACACATGGAGGACCGAGACTGAGGAGGGAAGACTCGGCCTGGATTGGGTGGCATCAACCACAGGCTTGCGGCCCCACCAAATAAGAAGTAAAAGCAGCCTTCCATTTCGCTCCCTTGTTGCCTTTGGACACCGGATCCTTACGCCTTCCCACGCAGACCTCTGGGTGTTCCGATACAGAACCCCCCAGGCTGTGCTGAGCTCCGGGCTTCTGACTTGGGCTGCTGCACCCAGATGGCCGTTCTGCGTGCTCCCCCCCCACTCTATGGGCCCACTGTAGGTCCCCTTCCGAAATCCTTCACACAGCATGTGTGCGTGTGTTTGTATTAAGTCTGACCCACTAACAAATTCTGACTGATGCAGAGGTAGTTTTACCACAGTTTACAGAGGAAAAATATCAGTCTTATTTGTACAACTCCACTTCCTTTCCCTGGAATGTTATTTCATGAAGAAAAAGTTTTGAAAGACCGGGGACATACAGCTCAGTGGCACTGCACCTGCCTTGCAAGTGAAAGGTCCTGGGTTTGATCCCCAGTACCTACCCCCCAAAAAGAATCAGTTTTGAAAAGGATACGTGTTCCATTAACTCCTGATATTTTAAAGTCATCCAGTAGCTGAACAACCATTTCTCTATTTGGATCATTGGGGTCTGAATTGCGAACCTGTCAAGAAGAGAGAGAATTTGGCAAAAGGGAAAGCATGGAAATAAGCCAAACGTTAAGGGAAGACACCAGGTAGTAAACTAACTCCAAGAAAGAGCTTCTAAAAATCTATATAATGGATTTCTCATTTAAGCTACTCACAGTGTGGCTTAGGAATTAACTGCTGGTTACCAAGCTATCAGGACTAAGGCACTTTCACAGGATGCAGATCTGTCACAATACTAACCACACTGTTTAGTGAGTTGACTTTTTTTTTTTTTAAATAGGAAAACTCTCAGTGAAAGCGGCAGTCTATGTTGATTTACTTTGGGGCACGTGCTCCTTTGCCACAAACTGAACTTTGAAAGGCACTGCCTCAGAGATTTCCCGATACAACACGTTTGTTCCATGACCAGTGACTGAAGAGCAGCAGGAATGAACTGGGGCACAGCTGGACCTAAATGCAGGTTTCCTACTCTTGGGTTTAAGCTCCTCCTACTGTGCTGACACCTTAATTTATAACAAAACTGAAATAAACATCCTGACAGAATTTACCTAAGTTGTCAAGTATAAATGGAATCAATGAAGACAGCATTTATTTTTGTTGTGTTTAATAACCTATTTTAGTTTTTTGGGGCGGGTACCAGGGATCAAACTCAGGACCTTGAGCTTGCGAGGCAGGCACAGTGCCACTGATCTAAATCCCTGGCTTCTATAACCTATTTTAAAACAAAGTAAAGCTATAAATTAATTTACACAATTTCCCTCTTAACCACAGTGGGTTACCTGACACACAAAACACTCCTGACAATGGTTTTTGCTTGCTTGACAATTCTTTGGCGTGTCAGTGTGCATAGAGAGAATTCTAATTACACCGAGGCCCACCAATTCCCCACCACACGCTTGTGGAAGTATCTTCCTCTACACCTTCCTATGGATACTAGAACTTTACAGTAGATGCAGTAAAAATTTACCCATGCTAAAGAATCTACTGGATGCTACATCTAATGAAACTACACAACTCTCTCGAGCTCACACACACATTGTAACACTCACTGATTTCAGCAGCCGGATTTCATCTAGTGCTGTTTCAGTATAATGTTCGGCACTTTTAACTACTTTCATTGCCACAAACTTCTTTCCCCTAAAAAACAAACAGAGGCAATTAAGACTAAATGCCCAACCCATATATGTGAAGCTAAGAGCTGGTTTTAACAGGCAGATGGTAAGCAAATATATAAATATAGTACTGATTTCATGTTTCCCTGTAGTCAAACTTTTTATGCAATCCCTTGTAACTGTTAACTGGCACAGCTGGCCAGATTTAATTGACAGGAAGAAAAAAAATCTGTTCTCAGATAAGCTCGGTCATTGAAACATTTCTCTAAATAAAATCTACCTTTCGAACTGGGAAGTTAGTTGACAGATAGACGGCTTGCCTAGCAGGAGCCAGGACCTGGATCTGCTTCCCAGCACCACAGAACAAAACAACTAAAACTCCTCCTCGGAGTATCTCCTGGAATCCCAATACTAAGAAAGGGGATGAATACGGGAAAAAATACTACTACATCAAAAATATGCTGTATATATCTACATAATAAAGGACACAAGGTGAAAAGCTACTTATTCTGTAAGAAGGCTGAAGACATACTCAGGTGAAAACAAGCAATAAGTCATATAAATTAAACGATAATACAGGAAGTGCACAGATGGCAGTTACTGTTCCATCGAAGACAGATGTTACACAAATACTTGATGTTAAAGAGGTGTTTTGTGGGGTGGATAGCAGGGATCGAACTCGGGACCTGGTGCTTGCGAGGCAGGCGGTGACCCCGCTGAGCTAAATCCCCAGTCCTTAAAGAGGTATTTTTATTGCCTGTAATTTTTATGCAGAGAAAATTTTAGACTGCATGACTGAGCAAATCTGTTACAAAAATAAATAATTTCATACTGGTTTAACAATATGTAGAAATTTAACTCTATCTTCAGTAAGAAGGTGACTGATCAATTTACATAACACTGACCATCTGTAAAGCTTTGAATGTGAGTTCTAAGTGCTTGGTTGATACTAATTTCATCAATATTTTGCTTCTAAGACCTCTAAGGTGGAGAGGCAGATATATATCTAGACATAGACATACATATGTAATTTTCATATATCTGATATTCATGACAAGAAAGTGATTTGTCCAAGAACATAAAGATCACTTTCAACAAAATTCCAATCAAGAAATCAGTTTAGAGACAAATCAGACCAAAACATGGAGGCATCGTCTACGTAATTCTTTTATAAGACTACTAAAACTTACTGAATATCCCATGATAACCACACTGTTGAAAAGTGCCCCCAGCCCAACTTTCGGATCACATGATATCTGCCATTGAACAGATCTCCAATTTTCACAAGATGATAACCTCCTGGAAGGGACAACAGGAGGAATTTAGTCAGAACCACCAGGATAAGAAACAATCACTTCATTAGTAAGAAAGAGATCTTACATTCCATTTATCAACATCCACACACCTTTTATCAGTCAAACAGTGTTACTGAGCTCATGTTACAAAAAGTAATCTTGGTGAGTAAGATTTTAAACTGAGCAAGTGATGTTTGTTAGAATCTCAGCCTCAAACAAAAATAAGGTTATTTATCACAACAGCCCGCCCCCAAAACTACAACAGATTTCTCTAAACATGAATCTGCTTCTAGTTGCAATCCCAGGATTTTTTCCCAGGAGAATAATAACTTCTGTCTAGCTTAAAAAGGAACTGGAGGATTTTCTTCTCTCAATAAAAATAAAAACCAGAAAGGTCTGAACAGGTTGCCCAAACTGATGGGAACCACGGTACGTTCCCGCTTATCTGAGGTGCTGGTGCACACCTGTAACCAGCACGCTGGGAGGGTGAGGCGGGGCGGGGCGGGGGTGTCATAAGTTTGAACCCAGCCTGGGCAACTAGTGACTTAGTGAGACCCTGTCTCAAAAAGGCAGGGCTGGGGATGTAGCTCAGTGTGAAGGACCTGGGTTCAATCCCCAGCGCCTCAAAAGGGAGGGGGATTAAGAAGATATTCCTCCTAATGTCTGAATACCAAAATAGCACACTTGGCTATTTCTGGGCATAGCACTGCAAGTAGCTTTTCTTTCCTTTTTATATATTTCTGAAATTTTCTCATTCATGGAGTATCATTTTTCAAGAGAAAAAAGTGAACACAATATAAAATTAGACTTGGCTAAGTCAAACTAAGAAAAAATACTGCTTCTTGTACCTTAGAGAAAAAGATGCAAAAATCACCAAAACTGCTTATGCCGACAGACCAAATGCCCTAAGTAACACACGGGCAGCAGGGCTCCCCTCTGCCAGGCACCTCCACTCACTCACCTTTGCAGTAGTCGCTGGGGTCCTCCTGCTCGTCGTCGTCGGACCCCAGAATCTCCTCTTCCTGCTCTGGGAGGTCGCTCTCAGAGTGGGGAGCGGAGCCTCGGTGCTGAGTTTCAGTTCTACGAAATAACAACACGCTCGTTCCACAGGACAGAAGAACAGAAGGCTTTGAGAAATTGTCGCCATCACCTCCCCCTCAGTGATCTTCAGACATTCAGCAGATTATCAGGCTGCTGCCTCACGAAAACATGAGCTATAGCTTTCTCACAGTACATGAATGGTGACCAAATAAAAGCTGGGAAACATAAAAGTATAATGAGGAAAACCGCTTCAACTCCAATATCCAAAAATAGTTGTTGAGCAAACAAGAGCTCGGGAAGCGGGGTTTGAAGCCAGGGCCTTCCGCTGAGCTGTATCCCCAGCCCTTTAAACCTTACTGATTTCTTTCTCTATATGTCATGAGCTAATTATATAACACAATTTTTATGCATTGACAAAGTTTAGGAGGCAAAGAGACCCAGATGTGCATTTCAGGTTCTGACATTTAATAGCTGTCTACCACACAAAAGCTTTAAGCAAACAAAACAAAACAAACAAAAAAAACCCAAAAGAACAAAGTCTACAACATTCCTCTATTTCAGTTTGGCTTTTTGAGACTCATACGTACAGGCTGGTCTTGAACTATGTAGCCCAGGCTGACCTGGAATTCCTGGTGATTCTCCTGCCTCAGCCTCCCAGGTGTTGGGATTACAGGCATGTACCACCACACTCTGCTATTTTACTTTGTTTTTGAGACAAGATCATAGCCACCAGGCTGGCTTTCAATTCCAGGGCTCAAGTAATCCTCCTGCTTCAGCCTCCTGAGTAGCTGGACCATAGGCATGCATCACCACGCCCAGCTTAGCATTCCTTTTAATAATTACAGGGAAAGTGGCGGCACACGCCTGTAATCCCTACACTCTGGAGACTGAGGCAGGAGGATCGCTGTGAGTTCACTACCAGCCTGGGCTAGTAGTGAGTTCCACGTCAGTCTCAACTACATAGTGAGACCCTGTCTCAAAAAACCAAAAAAAAAAAAAAAACAGGGAAAGAACATTTAATCTCTATCTTAAAATATTTACCTTTCATCAACCTGCTGCATCATATTGCTTTTCAAGATTCAAGTTAACAGAAAAAAAGCCAGGTGTCGTGGCTCATTCCTGCAATCCCAGCACTTGGGAGGTTGAGGCAGGAGAATTGCTCTAAGTTCGAGGCCAGCTTGGGCTAGTCAGTTTGAGGCCAGCCTGAACTACATGGCGAGACCCTGTCTCAAAAAAAAAAAAAAAAAAAAAAAAAAAAAAACCCACATAAATGAGCTATCAAGACCCTGGCAATATCTTGGTGAGTTTGACTAATGGTTTAGATTAAGATTTTTCGATGATCAGTCCAACCTTGTTTAGTTCGTGGTATGTGTTGTGTCCTCCAGGGCATACGGAAGTAGCTATAAAATTGTATGATTAAGAGTTCATTTTCGATAAAAATGTCTTTGGAACACTTATTTAGTAATGAACTGGCCCAATTTCCTAAATGGAAGTAACAAATCTGAATGAACAGCACCACCAAATTTTAGAGGTTAAAATGGAATATGAAAACAGATACTAAGTCAACTTAATGTGAGTATCTGTTGTCATCTTTTACAATTCTTTTTCTTTTTATTGAGTTTATTGGTACAATCTAGGTATACAATACAATTACATTCATCATTGGGATTCTGTACCTTTACATAATAGGTCTTGATTCTCATTTTTTCCCCTTGTCCCTGCCCTCCCTTCACCCTCTCCTCCCCTCCCCATTTACAAACACTTTGTTTCCATTTTTTCAGTTTCTCATATTTTTTCCCTCTTCCTTATTACCTTTCCCCCACCCTTCCCACTTTCCCTACACCTTTAGCCCTTTACTTCCTATTTCACATTATTAATTATCTCATTAGGATCCTGTGTACTATTATAGTTTTTCACACCAAAGAAACTATTCGGTATTTCAGTTAAAGAAATCTCTGTATGAACATTAAAAATAGGGAATCCTAAAATAAAACTAAAAAGGAAAGTAAAAGAGAAAAGGCAATGATGTACCATTAAAATAATCCTTAATTCTGGAGATGAAAATGGTCCCTGAACATATTTAAATTGCTTCTTGCTCTTATAGTCTTATTCTTTTTTTCATTATTTAGAGAATACTTTATTAGTTATCTTTTACAATTTTAATAAGGACTAGTTGTGGAATTTTGGAAAGCAGTGAAATACAGTATAAAGAATAAAAATAAGATTGGACACTGTCAGAATACCGGAATTCCCCAAGTATCATGGGAATAGTAACATTGACAATTTAGTTTTTTAAAGATTTAAACAATTTTTAGAAGTACCATTTCCACTTAAAGGATTCAAGACTGAATAGTAAGTCACAAGTCAAATCAGGCATCGTGGTGCCTGCCTGTAATCCTGGTACCTACTTCAGAGGCTGAGGCAAGAGGATTGTTCCAAGTTCGAGGCCAGCCTGGGCTGTTAGTTCAAGGCCAGCCTGAAATACACAGTGAGACCCTGTCTTGAAAAATCAAACCAAATCAACAAACAAACGGGCGGGGGGGCAAAGCCATAAGCCATAATACACGCTCTCACACTGATGTTAGTACAGACAAAAGCTTCTTGTTGTGTTCATTAAATACTTGGCTATACCTATATTTATTCTAAATAGGCCGTAAGAGGGAAATTCTATTTTCAACTACTAAATTTCCTTTGTTAGTATATTCTTTATTGTCCCAGTGCTGCACTGCTTAGGGCGCCTCTCTCCTGAGTTGGAGGCCACAGTCCTCGCTCTCAGGAAGACCTCTCACATCTGCATTTATCCCATCGATGGATGTAAGCACTCTGGACAGTCGTACACATGGAACCACACAGTACACGGTGCTTTGTGACAGGCTTCCTTTTCACTTGGCTGTTTTCAAGCTTTGCCGTGTTGTAGCATGTGTCAGCACCATATCCCTTTTTATAGCTGAATAATACTCCACGGTGTGAATGCACCACAGTTTATTTATCCCTTCGTCAGTGGATGGACTTTGGGGTTGTTTTCTCTTTATAGTTATAAATCGTCCTAGAAGAAGCCTGTGTGATCATGTTCACAGCAGCATTCTAATAACCCAAAGCTGTAAACAACGAAATGCCCTGGTATTCTGATACAATGGACGATTATTTCCCAACAGTGATGATGAATGAGCTACATGCATCAGCATGAATAAACTGCACGAACACACAAGACTGTTTAAAAACTCAGGATTTATTCCTCAAGGAGGCTTTGTCTCATAAAAGGTGACGAAAGGAAAAAAAAAAAATCAGGATTTATTCCGAGAAACTGTAATGTAGGGATATGATCAAGAAGGGGCACACACAAGCTTTTACGGTAATTTCCCCTTACTTGCTTTCTTCCTTTTCCCATTTCACTAGGGATTGAACCCAGGACCTTCACATTGAGCTATATCCCTAGCCCTTTCTTACTTTATTTCGAGACAGGTTTTCACTAACTTAAGTGGTCCAGGCTCAGCTCAAATTTTTGATTTTCCTGACTCAGCCTCCTAGAATACTGCAATTACAGGTGTATGCCACCACCATGGGTGGCAATTTATTTCTTAAACTAGGTAGGAGTTAAAATATTTATATTATTCTTTTTGATTACATCTCAAATATCTTATTTAAAACATATTGGCTATGATTGTGTTCAGGTTCAAGTAGAATTCAACACTCCTATGGCTTTTGTTACTTCGCATTACCTCTCTGATGATACTAATCTCATGGTTACTACAAAATGCAAATGCAAAGGAAATATAACTGCACGTTTTTTAATTATTTTTTGGTTTTGTTTTATAGACAAGATCTTGCTATGTAGCCCAGGCTGGTCTTGAACTCACAGTGATCCTCCTGCTTCAGCCTCCCAAGAGCTGGGATGACAAGCATGCTCCACTAATCTCAACTATATGCTTTAATTCTTAAAAACATTTTTTACCTGCACATTTTTCCTCTATAGATAGCGGACTTCTGTTTTATGGCAAAAAAGCAGTCCAAATAAATGACAAGTCTATGTAGACAATTTGGCCTAAAAAATAAGCTTTATCTAAACGATATACTTGTATGTACTGTATAACTCTATGTATTCTGTCCAACAGAGGAAAAAGTAACCAAAAAATTTATGTAGGAACTCGAAATAGTGCTTTGGTATATATGAGCATCATGTCATACAATATCTGGGTTTTTATACCTTTTTGTTTAGCAGGAAATAAATACTAAAAAAGAAAAAAATCATTACTTTATTAGTAGTATAAATCAAATGAATATAATTATAAAGCACAGTAGCCATTAAGCAAATTACAACACTGGAGAGTTTTCCAAGACACACCAGTAAAATTTAAGAGCCAAGTAGCTGAATAGATTGTGGTGCGTTTATCGACCCCTCCCGAAAGGTGCACAGCTAAATACTTTCACAGACAATCAGGACGCAAGGGGATTTAGAGGGTGGAGCCAACCCCCCAGTATAAGGAGTGGGAGAATGCAAAAGGAGTTTTCATATTTTGTCGCGTGTAACAACTGTGAGCTGCTGGCATCTTTTGCAAGGAAAACTACTCATGAAATATATCACTTAAAAAACTGACGAAAGGTTTTTAAAAATTCACCTCACTGTTGTGGTGCAAGGAGACCAGATCACTACCTTCAAACGAACTGCCCTGCCCAGTAAAATTTCTCTCCAGAGCTGCTCAACTGAACAAGGTGGTCAACCACGGCTGAAACCCCGTTCCAACCAGATACAACGAGATCAACCAGAATTCCTCAGGGAAAGGTTAGAGGCTGGGAAAACTCTCGGAAATCTTAATCAATAAGGACAAGAGAGTTGCTGGGGACAATGACCGCTGCCAACAAGGGAGGCAACATCTCCAACAATGATTTAAAAACTGCAAGAGAATAAAAGGGCAAATCTAGAGAGATGCATTCGGGCCCAGCATCACCCTTGTCCATGTCGTTCAGCGTGGCTTGAATCTGATCACTCAGGAAAAACTGTTCTAACAAATGCACATACATAAGTTGGCAGTAATCACAAC